CTCTCTCTCTCTCTCTCTCTCCCTTCCTCTCTGAAACAGACCTCCCTTATCATTCCAAGCAATTCTGAATCAAACTATTTCAAAGAAACCTTAATACTCAATCCGGCATCTAAGTGACAAAACATTATTTGCTTTGATGTTTCACCATGCAGCTCATTACTGCCAATAATTCTTGGAGCGATTTTACTATCTTTTCTTATCCCAGACCTCTCTCGTCACTGCAAATGTAGAAATTTAAGTCTGCAACTACACAAGAATTAAGGCACTTAGAGAAAAGATGAGAGTGATTGAAAGTCCCTAGGGACTGATAATGTGAAATGGAGCCTTTCACCTCCATGGTATCAGTTCATATGGGGCATGGGCTGGGAGTGATTTAAAGTCATTATCCTCAAATAGTTGCTCAGTGGCCTTTGTGGACAGAAATGATGGTTTTACTCCAGTTCTTCCTGGACCTAGATTATAATCACCCTCAATGCAATTGGCACTAATTGGACAACTTACTGGCTATGCAGCAAACAGAGTGAGAAATACGTTATTGAATTTCACTCCCTTCCCATCTCATACACTCAATATACTCAGCTCCTCTGGGTATCAAAGCATCCTGAGGGCTCCTGGAAAAGTCTCAAGGTTAGAGCTCTTCTGCAGATACTTGAAGGAATATCCATTTCTAACTCCACCCTAACGTTTCTATCCATTTTCGAAAATTCACAGCAGCTACAAACATCAAACTTAAAGTAGTTTATGATAATATTATTCACAGCCAGTATGACAAAGGATATAAGAATCATGCCAGAGGCCCAGCGAGAAGAAGCAAGATATAGAAAACACGTTTCAGCACAATGCTGAAGAAACTAGTCAGCCCTGTATCTGAGCATATTTTAAAGGGAGGCAATTTTAACATTACAAAACACAATGTTCAATAGAGGAATACATCCTCTCACACAGTACAACTTCAGAGTAATCCTATCGCGTGGGTCCCCACAGCTATTTTCTTTAAATGCCACCATATTATTCTTCAAAGATAAGAGTTCTGCCTTTCCCCAAATCTTCTCGTGACTTAATATATGCAACACAAAACAGCCAAATGGAAGGCCACAGGAAGGCTCCCAAGACGTTAACATCGCACAGTTTTCAAGTTCTGCATTTTGTGGCCCGTGACTTCTAAGGATGGCACTGCCTGGTTTACTGAGGGAATGTGATAAATGTCTGTAACAACATTAACGATCCCTGACATTTTGCTAAGGGAAATAAACCACCTCTTCACACCATTGTAGGATCCCACTTCTACAAGGTACCTAGAACGGTGGAATGCAAAGAGACAGGACAGCAGTGGTTACCAAGAAGTAGAGAGAGGTCGAACAGGGAGTTCCTGTTTAACAGGTACAGGGTGTCAGTGTGGATGATGGAAAAGTTCTGGAGATGAACAGTGTGACAGTTGCACAGCAATGTAAGTAAAGTTGATGCCACTGAACTGTACGTTCAAAAAGCACAAAAACAGCCAATTTTATGTTATGGATATTTCACCACAATTTTTTTAAATGTTTACAAATGAAAACTCCCTAGCCCTAACCTACTGCTGCTATACAGGGAGACATTAGTGTTTCCCTCCTGCTGGCATGCCCTTTCCCCTCGCCCTCTTGGATGTAACTTCCAAGGTCCCATCCAAACAGTGTTTTCTCTGTAAATTCATCCCTGGTCACCAGAGCTGGAAATAATCTCACTGTTTTCTGTGCTATAAACTTTATCTACACCTCCCTTATGGTATGCAGCAGTTTGTCCTTAGGTTATGATCATGTATGTGAATAGCTTCGCACCCTGCTCCTTCACTAGACACAGCCGCCTAAAGAGCAGCACTCTGTGGGCTCCCCAAAGCCCCAGGTACACACACACGAGCCGCCACATGTATACTGCATACACTCTACTCATAGTCTCTCAAAAAATGTCCACAGAAGATGAACAAATGACCTCAAAAGAACAAAAAATACGTGTAGGATGAATTCCAAAGAGCTATTTTAAGTCTTCTATGTAAATGTGATATGGCTGGCCTGAATATCGTTCCATAAATTAGGTCACTGTCTTAGATTTCGAAATCTTTTCAGAAAATTTCTATACTGATAGAATGTAACCCAATCAACTCTTGATTGCCATCAAGAAGAGAGAGCGAGAATGCAAAATAGGGAATCTGGAGATTAATTTGTCTTTATAATTTAGAAGAAAAATAATGGAAAGACACACTAACTCCCTTCACACTGCTCCCCCTTAAATGTGGCTGAATGATAGAAAAAGAAGCTGTAAATTATTATATTAAATCTAATCATAGAAGATCTAGACTTCTTCTTGGTAAGAAATTAAGATTAATTACATATTTTAACTGGAAGCATATTGTTTAGAAGAAAGAATACAAGCTATGGAGTCAAACAGACCTGAGTTTGGATTCCAACTCAAGGATGTACTTACTACCTTAATGAAACTGCAAGTTATTTAGACTTTCAGAACTCTATCTCATCATCTGCAAAAGGGGAATAATAATACCCTCTACATTCTAGAGCAGTAAAAGGATTAAATGGCTAATACATGGAAGATGCTCAATAAGTTTCACTCTGTTTCTCTTCCTTCCCCAGGAACAGACCTAGTAAGCAGGTTAATTTGAAATATTACGTGTATGTACACCTTCCGTCTGAAAACCTTTAAGAGAAGGAAATTGCTTGCTACAATTTTAAAGCTAGGCGGAGTCTTGGATAACTATCTAATCCAACTGTCCTCTTTTTACTAAAAAAGAGGTCAGTTTAGAGTTTAAGTGACATGGCCAAGTCACCAAGCTGCATAGCCACAACATCCCAAAGAGAATAGAGGCTTCCTGATTTTGAGCCCAATACTCTTTGCATAACATGCCACTGCTGTCCCTCAGCAGACCAGATGCTCCTTTCTCCCCTCTGCTTAGAACTCATCATGTCCAGGGGCGCCTGGGTGGCTCAGTCTGTCAAGTGCCCGACTTCGGCTCAGGTCATGATCTCGCAGTTCGTGGGCTCGAGCCCCGTGTCAGGCTCTGTGCTGACAGCTCAGAGCCTGGAGCCTGCTTCGGATTCTGTGTCTCCCTCTCTCTCTGCCCCTCCCCCACTCATGCTCTGTCTCTCTCTCTCTCTTTCTCAAAAATAAATAAACATTAAAAAACCTTTAAAAAAAAAAAACTCATGTCTGCAAACTACTGCCAAATGTGCATTTCAGGAAAACCATTTACCTTTGATTCCTCGGTCCATTTTCATTAAACGCCTGATTATGGAATCGCGGTTATCTCCTTGCCTGATTTCAATTTTGGTTGAGAAGTGGCCATTGGATGGCTGGGGGTTTACTAAGGAAACTGACACACCAGGCTAGGAAAATAAAGAGAAAATGATTGTTTTACAAAATCAAACTTGAATACTGCTGAGGGAGGGAAAATCTCTATAAAAGTTAGTAATGCTCAATGAAAAATTTAATGCTGGTAGTCTAATATCAAGACCAAGGGATACTCAAATATGAAATAAAAGATGTACAAAAGCTCATGCTTACAACCAAATGCCTAGGTGAAAATGACTGACTATATATATCAATACTGATGATGGAGAACAACAACAATTATATTTTCTTTTAACTCCCATCATTTATTGAGTTTCTACTATGTACCAGGCACTGTACTAAGCATTTTATAGACATGATTCCTATAAGCTGAAAGGTAGTTCTTTAAAACCTCTTTTCACAGATAAGAGCTGAGAACCAGAAACATTAACAAGGTTACAGAGCTAGTAAGAAGCAGAGCCCGGATTAAATCCCATCATATACCATACTATTTCCTACATTATATAAGCTATATAGCCAAAGACTTTGCTCATTATTTTAAGTGGAAAAAGTCAACTGAGTCTTAGGAAAAACTTAAAACATAGTAGCTTAAGGGAACGCTTGAAAGTAGCTTGACAAAAACATATTTGTAAAGGGAACTCTATTTCATGTACCTATCCAATGGGCCAAAGGACTACACTTTAAAAAAAATTTTTTTTTTAACGTTTATTTATTTTTGAGACAGAGCACAAACGGGGGAGGGTCAGAGAGAGGGAGACACAGAATCTCAAACAGGCTCCAGGCTCTGTCAGCACAGAGCCCGACGTGGGGCTCCAACTCGCAGACCGCGAAATCATGACCCGAGCCAAAGTCGGCCGCTTAACTGACTGAGCCACCCAGGCGCCCCGAAAGGACTACACTTTAAAAAGCAACAATAGGGGCGCCTGTGTGGCGCAGTCGGTTAAGCGTCCGACTTCAGCCAGGTCACGATCTCGCGGTTCGTGAGTTCGAGCCCCGCGTCAGGCTCTGGGCTGATGGCTCAGAGCCTGGAGCCTGTTTCCGATTCTGTGTCTCCCTCTCTCTCTGCCCCTCCCCCGTTCATGCTCTGTCTCTCTCTGTCCCAAAAATAAATAAACGTTGAAAAAAAAAATAATAATTTTAAAAAATAAAATAAAAAGCAACAATAGGGGCACCTCAGTGGCTCAGTCACGTAAGCATCCAACTTTGATTCAGGTCATGATTTCATGGTTCACAGGATCAAGCCCCATATCGGGCCCTGCACTGACGGTGCGGAGCCTGCTTGGGATGCTCTGTCTCCCTCTCTCTCTCTGCCCCTCCCCTACTCCCTCTCTCTCAAAATAAATAAACAAACTTAAAAAAGAAAAAAACCTTTAAAATAAATAAATGAATAAATAACCACATATTTTTAATGTAATGAGGCCTTCATTCTTTCAAATAGGCTTTTTCTCTTTGTTGCATTTTCAATTAAATGTGGTAAAGGTAACAGGATACTTATCAAGAAAAGTAGGGCATTTTATGGACTCCCACAGTTGCACTCCACCAGGCAATGGATTGAGAGCAAATAAACAGAATCTCCCAAAACTCTAAAACCTGCTTATCTTCACCAATACTGGCCAAAAACTAAGGGAATAAAAGTTATTTCTAGTATAATGTAAGATGATTCATCAATCTGGTTTATGCCAGAAGCTAAAAAATCTTAAATAACCTTATTGAACCAAGACTCATCTAAAGTAAGAAAGCTCCTTTTCACTATTTAAAAAATCTTATATATCAATTTCCACTTTATTTTTTAATAAAAGTCAGGTGTTGACACAAAAATAAACTCAAAATGGATTAAAGACCTAAATGTGAGACTTGAAAGCATGAAAATCCTGGAAGAGAGCAGAGGCAGCACTTTCTCTGACATCGGTCATAACGATATTTTTCTAGGTATGTCTCCTGAGACAGGGGAAACAAAAGCAAAAATAAACTCTTGGGACTATATCAAAATAAAAAGTTCCTGCACAGAGAAGGAAACAGCAAAACTAAAAGGCAACCTACTGAATGGGAGAAGATATTTGCAAATGACATATGAGATAAAGGGTTAGTATCTAAAATATGTAAAGTACTGACACAAATCAACACCCAAAACACAAATAATCCAATTAAAAAATGGGCAGGAGAGCCTGAGTGGCTCCGTCCGTTAAGCTTCCGACTTCAGTTCAGGTCATGATCTCACAGTTCATGAGTTCGAGCCCTGCATCAGGCTCTATGCTGACAGCCTGCTTTTGGATCCTGTGTCTCCTTCTCTCTCTGCCGCTCCCTCACTCAGTCTTGGTCTCCCCCCCCCCCTTTCTCTCTCTCTCTTGAAAATAAATAAACATAAAAAAAAAACTTTTTTTAATGGGCAGAAGACGTGAACATTCTCCAAAGAAGATGTAGAGATGGCCAACAGACACATGGAAAGACACTCAGCATCACTCATTATCAGGAAAATGCAAATCAAAACTACAATGAGAACACCTCACACCTGTCAGAATGGCTAAAAATTAACAACACAAGAAACAACAGGTGTTGGCAAGGACATGGAGAAAAAGGGACCCTCATGCACTGTTGGTGGGAATGCAAACTGTTGCAGTCACTCTGGAAGACAACATGAAAGTTCCTCAAAAAGCTGAAAATAGAACTACCATATGATCCAGTAATTCCACTACTGGGTATTTACACAAAGAATAGGAAAACACTAATTTAAATGGATACATACACCCATATGTTTATTCAGCATTATTTACAATAGCCAAATTATGGAAACAGCCCAAATGTCCATCAATTGATAAATAGATAAAGAAGATGTGGGGTGTCTGTGTGTGTGTATAAATAGAAATATATAAATATATATAGAATGGACTGTTACTCAGCCATAAAAGAGAATGAAATCTTGCCATTTGCAACAACATGCACAGATGTAGGGATTATACTGCTAAGTGAAATAAGTCAGTCAGAGAAATACCATACTGATTGCACTCACATGTGGAATTTAAGAAACGAAACAAACGAACAAAGCAAAAAGAGACAAACACAAAAACAGACTCTTAACTATAGAGAACAAACTGATGGCTACCAGAGGGGAGGTGGCTGGGGGGGATGGTTGAAATAGGTGATGGGGATTAAGAGTACATTTATCATGGCAAGTACTGAGTAATGTACAGAATTGTTGAATCACTGTATTGCACACCTGAAACTAATATAACACTGTTAACTATACTGGAATTAAAATTAATAAAAAAAGAAAAAAAAAGGTTAAAAAAATCAGGTTTTGAAAATCCTATTTTGAAGGGCACATGCACCCCAATGTTTACAGCAATGCTATCAACAAGAGCCAAAGTATGGAAAGAGCCCCAATATTCATCAACGGATGAATGGATAAAGAAGATGTGGTGTATGTTAGGATGTCCTTGGAACCACAGTAGAGGGGACGGCCATCTTGCCAGCTCAACCCAACGAAAAGTTGCCAGAACAAATTGGAGGTCAACCAATCACCGAGCGACAGCACGACCTGATGCGAAAAAGGCCCACCCAGACCTAAACCCGGAACCGCTGCAGCTTAAAAACCCCACCCCACCACACCTGGGTGCGACTTCCCTGACTCCTCTCTCTCTCTCCCTGAGTCACGGAACCTTGCCCGAACTTAGTTCCCAAATAAAACCTTTGACTGCTAAAATTTTTTAGCCTCTGACTCCTATCTTTACCCTGCCTTACGCCTGACCCTAACAGTTATATATATACAATGGTTATTACTCAGCAATCAAAGAGAATGAAATCTTGCCATTTCCAATTACGTGGATAGAACTGGAGGGTATTAGCTAAGCGAAATTAGTCAGAGAAAGACAGCTATCATATGGCTTTACTCATATGAGTAATTTAAGATACAAAACAGATGAACATAAGGGAAGGGAAGCAAAAATAATATAAAAACAGGGAGGGGGACAAACACATAAGAGACTCTTAAATACAGAGAACAAACAGAGGGGCTGCTGGAGGGGTTGTGGGAGGGGGGATGGGCTAAATGGGTAAAGGGCAGTAAGGAATCTACTCCTGAAATCACTGTTGCACTATAAACTAACTTGCATGTAAATTTAAAAAATAATTAATTAAAAAAAAAAGAAAATCACATTTTGATTTTTAAACCCACATGTAACATCTGATGCCACCCATAAGAGCAGAGTGAAGGAAAGTGAGCACAGCATCAACCAGAGAATTAGAAGAGCTCAAATCCAGCCTCTTATCTAACAAACTGTGGCTTAGACCAAAGCAATCACTTTGCATCTCTGCACCTCATTTCCTTCCATCTTTCAATGACGAGCTTGGATATAATATCTAAGGTCTCTTCTAGCTCTAAAATACAATGATTCAGTGAAATCATTTCAACTTACTTCTGTTCTAAAAACATTAAGTGGTTTCCCAGGACAGCAATCTTCCCTGATTTTATCTTCTGCTTCGGAGGCAAACTTGACTTCTATGTGTTCTAGCTAAATACAAGGAGGGAAAATGAAAGTCATTAGTATCACTTAATATGACTGCAATTAATCATCACCTCATTTCACCAAAGAGGAAAACTAGCTTCTCCACTTAACATGAAATGGTCTGTGTATTCCTCAGGAAGCCAGCCAAGCACAGGACAGGACTAAGAGACCGCTCTGAAACTCAGGATCAAATGCTCCCACAGATAACATTGTTTCAAACGCAAAAGACTATGGGGCTCCTGGGTGGCTCAGTCAGGTAAGTGTCCAACTTCAGCTCAGGTCATGATCTCATGGCTTGTGAGCTTCAGCCTGGAGTCAGGCTCTGTGCTGACAGCTCAGAGCCTGGAGTCTGCTTGGGATTCTGTGTCTCCCTCTCTCTCTGCCCCTCCACTGCTCACACTCTCTCTCTAAAATAAATAAACATTAAAAAAAACAAAGAAAGAAAAATAAAAGAAAGAGACTAAATCATTTTTATGTCCATCAAAAAAAATTTTTTCTTAAGAACATGGTCTTTAATTATTAGACCATTAGACTTTATTAATTTCAAATAAACATTAAATGACATCTATAATCTATAATCAATTATTTAACTCTTCTTAAATGTCTCATGGTATTATTGACATAGTCATGTTTACCATTTTCTATAGTGAAATCTAGCATCTACCTGCTATATCAGAGAAAATGAAAAACAGGATAAAAGAGGTTTCTGGAAAACCTCAGAAATGTAGTATAATGTATATGCCTGAATATAAGATGACCTTCAATATAACCTGTCCCCATTGTCCCAATGAAAAAAATACAAGAACTTTTTTGACCTCCAGGTATATGAACATTTAGAAATATGCACAAATGACTACCATTATTAATTATTAACTCATTTGTAATTATATGACATAAAGTGCTTATTTAGAAATAACTTTATTACCATATTTCATGGAACAATTTCATTCAAAATATACACTTGCATGTTTTAACTCAAATGTCTTCATTATCACTTGAAGCACTTTTTTGAGTCCTCTAACACAGTTTTCTAGGGCAAATTATCTTTCCTTCTGCCTAAGTTGTCTGAGCGAGAGCATTTTTAGAAACTATATATGAAGTGACTGGGGCAGAAAGGTAGAATGGGGAGAAACTCACAATTAGGTGAAAGCTATTGGTAGTGTCTTAGTTCCTGAGTTGAGGAGTAAATTCAGGAATATTCATTACATTATTAACTTTAAAAAAATCCAGAACAAGACCAGGCATGGACCTTGATACTATCTCATGGACAAAGGATTCTAATTAAGCCAATTCTGTAAATTGGAGGTCTCAATGGGAGAGAGGAAAAAAAAGAAGCAATTCAGTGTGTCTTATAATATGAGAGACTTTGAAAGCATTTAAATATAAACATAAGGTCTCCCCTCATTTTTTTAAGGAGAATTGTGGGAGGAAAAACCAGGCACATACAATTAGTATTTTATGTATAAATTAATTGATAGGGGCACCTGGGAGGTTCCATCAGTTGAGCAAACGACTACTGATTTCAGCTGGAGTTGCGATCCTGGGGTCATGGGGTCAAGCCCCACACCGGGCTCTACACTGAGTGTGTAGCCTGCTTGACATTTTCTCTCTCTTCCTCTGCCTCTCCCCCACTCTTGCTCTTTCTCTATCTCTCTCTCTCTCAATAAGTAAATAAATAAATTAAAAATAGGGGCTCCTGGGTGGCTCAGTCGGTTAAGCGTCTGACTTTGGCTCAGGTCATGATCTCACGGTTCGTGAGTTCGAGCCCCGTGTCGGGCTCTGTGCTGACAGCTCAGAGCCTGGAGCCTGTTTCAGATTCTGTGTCTCCCTCTCTCTCTCTGACCCTCCCCCATTCATGCTCTGTCTCTCTCTGTCTCAAGAGTAAATAAACGTTAAAAAATATTTAAAAAAATAATTAATTAATTAAAAATAAAGTAACTGAGAAATGGAATAAGATCACAATCATTTTTTAATTCCTGCAACTTCTATACCCATCCATTCTCCTCCCTCCAAAAATATTTTTGACAGGTATATTTGGCAAAGGTACTAAACACAGAAGATGTTTATAAAAAGGTTTATTATAAAACAAAAGATGGGGTGCCTGGGTGGCTCAGTTGGTTAAGCATCCGACTTTGGCTCAGGTCATGATCTCTCCGTCTGTGAGTTTGAGCCCTGCATTGGGCTCTGTGCTAACAGTTCAGTGCCTGGAGCCTGCTCCGATTCTGTGTCTCCCTCTCTCTCTGACCCTCCCCCACTTGAGTCTCTCTCTCTCTCTCAAAATTAAACATTAAAAATATATATATAAAACAAAAATGGACTATATTTACTACAGTGAACTAGTTGTTACAATCCCTGGCCCCTTGTACCTCCAGGGAGTTGGTCAGGTAGACTATATTCTCCATCAGCACTGCCTGTTCATCAAACTCTAATTGCAAATCCAGAACACGAGGTCCCATCTTCTCCAGATTTTCCTAATAGCCAAAACAGTTTTGAAAAATAAAAATCACATTAAGAATACGTTGAAATGAATACATTTCCTCCAAAGCAATCATTCTTCTCTCAACTGATAAAATCTTCAAATTTGAACAGTTGAAGGAAAGGCCTTGGACTCATGGTTTCCCTTATCTATGTTTGTTCGTTAATGAAATTATTGGCTCAGAATAATTATCATTTGAGGTATGATAAGACTAAGGCAACACCGAAAAGCCTGGAGGGACAAGGTTTTCAGATTTATAAAAGAAATAGCATTTTATCATTGTTTATTTAGAATGACTTAATATGCAAGCCCAAAGAATTCACTTTGACAAGGAATCAAACAAATGTGTGGAAATATCCCTTCAGGTAACCGAAAAGAAAGAAAAAAAAATCTTTTTTTAATTTTCTAAGATAATACATCTTTAAAGCTAGTTCAGAGAATAGTGAATTAATAATAAACAAACAAAAAATTTCTACAAATTAAAAAAAAAATTTAGGTTATATTGGTACTGAGATAATCTGATAGCACATGATAAACAATTTATTCTTAATTTTCTTGAACATGAAACAAAATATCTGCCACTCAAAATATAACCTTCGAGAGCCAAGCTTATATCCACAAGTATAGCTAACTGCCTAGAACATGCTGCACTAAATGAAAGCGACCTGACAAGATTCCTAATACTCACTGTTTTCACTTACTGTCCAACCGGTTTCTTGTCCTGTGAAAAAGTGCTAGAAGCCATTTTCTTATTCTCAGATTTACAAAACGCTTTTCGAAAAAGTTTCAAACCATTAATTTGCCTGGCAAGTCCCCAATATTACTGGAAAAAAAAATACTACTACTGAAACAATCTAACACTGGTTTTCTAAAAAGCCACCTCTTGGATCTAGTATCATTTAACTACAGAACTTGTCAAATGAGTTTCACTGGATTCTTTAAAATACATAATCAAACTTAATTGCCTTTGCAATCAATAATGAAATATTTTGTTGGATCCATGTATTGACAACGGATCTGGCATTTTGACCAGTGGCACTAGCTAAGTAGGGAACCAATGAATTAGGGACATATCAGCATATATATTATAACTTGATTGGTGTAGGTCAATCCAAAATTCTAAATTATTTCTGAAACTTCAAAGACCATAGGCTCAGAGAGTTGATTTTGGTCTAGGAGAATGAAAAGGCTTTCCTAAGAATACGATCTACTCCAATACAGGACAATCTAGAATTTTGGTCTCCATCACGCAGGCATCTGTAGCCTAGAAGATTAAAGAATTAATCTAAGCTATAAGAATAACCACCATGTTCCAAGCAGAGTGAAATATACTAATTTACATTAAAAAAATTTACTAAGCCTACCTTTTGACAGAAAGTGTGTTGAGTATATTACTTCATGTATTCCTCACAGCATTCCTAAAATGTAGGTTTTATTAATTTCCTCATTTTACAGATGAAAAACTATGTGGCCCAGAGAATTTAAGTGATTTATCTAAGGTCTCAAAACTAAGAAGTGATGGACAAAAAGGATTTGGACCAAGATCTATCTGATCCCAGAGCCTGAGATCAGCAGAAACATACAGCCATCTGTTTCTCTTTAAGAAATGCAATAAATCAGGGGCGCCTGGGTGGCTCAGTCGGTTGGTTAAACGTCCAACTTCAGCTCAGATCATGATCTCGCGGTCTGTGAGTTCGAGCTGCCTGTTGGGCTCTGTGCTGACAGCTCAGAGCCTGGAGCCCGCTTCTGATTCTGTGTCTCCCACTCTCTGTGCCCCTCCCCCACTCACGCTCTGTCTCTCTCACTCTCAAAAATGAATAAATGTTAAAAAAAATTTTTTTTAATGCAATAAATCAGTTATTTCTCTGAAGAAAGCTAAGCGTCTAATGCAATGATTTCTCAACAGGAGAGGTGGGGGGGGGGGTGGAGCATATTATGTCCCCAAGAGTCATTTGGCAATGTCTCGAGACATTTTGGGGTCCAAACTTGAGCAGGTGAGGAGGATGTTCTATTGCCATCTAGTGGGTAGAAGCCAAAAATACTGCAAAACATCCTATAATGCTCAGGATAGCCTCCCACAACAGAGAACTATCAGCCCACAGTATCAACAGACCACTGTTGAGAAACTCTGGTCTAACCACTATAATCAATGTTTATCCTCTTAAGCAAAACCTATCCAAATGTACTACCTTGGTTCCAGCAACAGGAGCTAACAAAAACACCCTAATGTAAGCCAAAAACAATATGGATCCCCCCTAAACAGAAAAGAAGGTAGAACATGAAGAGAATCATTTAGTGTAACAATTCTAGTTTTTCTTCCACAACGCATATTTTCATATACTCAGCAATTGTACAGATAAACCCCCAAAATGATCGCTCATTTGTCACAACCACTGATTGAAAAGTGCTATTTTAGCAGATTTCCTGGGAAAGACTATACTCAAAGTTCCCCCTTCCTTCTACCATCTAACCATTACTCACATAGTCACTGCTACATGAGGTCCACAGCTTACCTTAATCATGGCAACAAATGGCATCACTTTCTTCATATATTTCTTCAATTCTGGCAAACTGCCCAGTTCGCTAGCAATGATTTTGTTATCAGGCAATTTTCTGCTGTTGCCCTAAAAAAATAGGTTGGAGAAGAATGTGGAGAAAAGTATTTTTTAAATAATGCGAAATAGTACATGTACCTGCAGGAAGTCGGCCATAGAATGGTGGCCTCTACTAGTCTGTTAGAATACAGTAGAAAATGGTGCAGCCCCAAGCATCATGGGGAAATGAAACATGAATGTATAATATGGAAGGGAATCTCCTATTCCCTCTAAATTTAAAGGATATATGTTTTTTGGGAAGGCAAAGAAAATAGGTGCATCCTGTTGAACATTTAATTTTCCCTTACACTAAAAACACCTCCATGATTGTAACTTTAGATCTTATCCAGTGAGAAAACAAAATAGTCTTATAAAGATCTTGTTTGTCTCCAAACCTGTAAAAACATGTCATTAGTCATATCAAAATGAAAACTACACAACCATTATACAAGATTTATATAATGTCTGCTTTTCAACACTCCTTATAAATTGTTACCACAAATGTGAAAAAAAAAAAAATCCTTGGCTATCAACCTATTAAAAAGACTATCATTTAGGAACGCCTGTTGATACTATTGGCTATCAACCTAGTAAAAATAGTATCATTTCAGTTAAGCGTCCGAACTCTTGATTTTGGTTCAGGTTGTGATCTCTCACACTGACAGCACAGAGCCTGCTTGGGATTCCCTCTCTTCCTCTTTCTCTGCCCTTCCCCTGCCTGCGTGCTCCCACGCTTGATCTCTTTCTCTCTCTCTGTCTCTAACTAAATAAACTTTAAAAATAGTATCATTTCGAACTACTGGGACCTTACGAAGATAAAAAGCTTCTGCACAGCAAAGGAAACAACCAACAAAATTAAAAAGCAACCAACGGAATGGGAAAAGATATTTGCAAATGACATATTGGACAAATACCGGACTCAGATATCCCTCCAGCTCAGTCAGTGGCCAAAAGATGACAAATCAGGGAACTATAGATGCTGGAAGATGTGTGGAAAGCACGGGGAACCCTCTTGCACTGTTGTGGGAATGCAAACTAGTGGCTTGCTCCTGGAAAACAGTGTGGAGTTCCTCAAAAAATTAAAAATAGACCTGACCCTAGCACAATGAGCACTTTCCTAATGGTATTTCCCAAGGGATACAGGAATCTACTGATGATGGGCACTGATACGCAAGTTTATAGCAGCATTCTCAACAATATGGGCCAATATGGAAAGAGCCTAAATGTCCATCAGGACGATAATGATAAAATGGTGTGGTTTATACAGCAAGATACTATGTGGCAATGAGAAAAAGATGAAATATGGCCTCTTTGTGCAAGCGTGGATGGAAGTGGAGAGTGTAGATGCTAAGTGAAATAATAGCCTTACAGAGAAGAATAGCCTGATGGCTTTCCTCTATATGTGGATCCTGACAAAGCTTAACAGAAACCCATGGGGGAAGGGAAGGAAGAAAAAACAAAAAGAGGTTAGAAGTGGAAGAGACAAAGCATAGAGACTCTTAAAGAACAGAACAAACTGAAGGGGGTTGATGGGGTGGGGAGGAGGGAGGGGTGGGTGATGGGTGATGAGGAGGCACCTTTTGGGATGACACTGGGTGTTGTAGGCAAACCAATTTGACAATAAATTTCATATATTGAAAAAATAAATAAAAATAAAAACAGTATTTCTATCTACTCACAAATAAATGCCTATATCATATATCACTAATAAGCTGAGTCCCAAATGTGCTGTCTGAATTTCATTTCATTTCTGCAAACACAAGTAGCCCCTTCTACAGAGTGACAAATGAAGCAAGTAGCCTTTTCAGAATTTTCGGTGACTTATTTTTTCCTTATTCTAAAAGCATGGCATCAAAACCAAGGGTTGGGAATGAATCTAAATGAAAAGTAGTGTATAGTAAAATTTCTGATAATCTATTTACTTTCAACTCTAACCTTTACTAAGGTACAGGGGGAAAAAAACTTTCTCCACTTGTCAATGTGCTGTTTTAAAATACGTACGGAAAAGAGGATACGAAACACTCCTTTCCCTTATGTCATCAAAATGGTACCGTATACAACGTAAGGACATCCTCCTTTATTATAAAAACTAACATTTAGCTCTTTTGGATGAAAACAAACAAACATTTTTTAAAAAGCTGACCATTCCAAATAATGCCCAAAGATGATGAAACCATATGATATCTAGTCACTGATTACTAAATAAAAATATTAACCTCTCAAAGAATAGCAGTTTTTAATAAAAGATGCATTTTTAAATATCTGCAACATTACATTCTGTATTTGGCTCTCCTCCTGCCTCCTTGAAAATGCTGGTATGAATATGTAACCCACTGGGTGCAATTTCATTTCTCTACCTACCAAAATGGCTTTTACTTTTTTAGTTAGCGTAAGTCAAAATCTGCAAGCAATTCTACAGACCACGTTCTATTTCCATTACACACAATCAAATGAAGAGGCAGCTCTCCATAAAAATAGGCTCACAAGGAGTACAAAAACACTTGCTCTTCTCTTTCCATCAAATTTTACAAATTTTTAATTAAGTATGGAAATTTCTGAAATAAAAGCTCAATAAAATTCTCAAAAATTAAAGCTAAAAATTTTCCCTTCATGTTACTGCTTTATGCTTTGGCCATAATCACTATTTTGTCTCTTCTTTAAGTGTACCTTCACAGTCTGTGTCTATCAATAACTGTTCCTGAGCAAAACTTCAACAACATATACTTAGTTTCTATTTTTCCAATGTGAAAGAAAAAAGATAGATGAACTTTTTTCTTTAGGGAAACTTAGAACTAAGTGTTAAGTGTTGAGTTTCCTTTAAATTCGACAATCATATTTAATAGCTATTTACCGGACGGAGCCAAAAACAACGAGCTCTCCATTTCTACGAGTAATTAGCAAATTGACCATTCTGTTTTAAATTACTCAAGAGCCAAGCTTCAGATTTTTTTAAAACATAACTAAGTTAAGGCTTCATGAATCCCAGGGTTCAAGCCACAATCAACTCAAAAGGCAAACTCAGTCCTTTGGCTTCATAATTTTAACCACATATGAGAAAGTCTCATTATCTTTTAATTACATATGACTAGATCCAATGTGTTTTTGTAAGAAAGCTTCAGAAATGATAAAAAAAAAAAAAAAGTAACTTTTCCCTCAGGATCCACTTAAGAGCCAGCAAGGCTAACAAAAAACTTTCCAGGCCTAAAGACAATTAGACAAAGTCGCCCGTCTTCCTTCTCCCGGACATTGTCAGCACCCTCCAAACAAAACAGCACAGGCAGCACCCAACAATGTAGGGGGAAAGTCTGCAGAGAGCATCACCTCAAAGTGATTACGGAGCACTGACAGGGTGATATGTTGCCAAGGAGGATAGCTCTTCGCCACGTAGATGGTGCAATGTGAAGGCTTCTGAGGCGGTTGCTTGTCAGTCTTCTACGGGGCAAAAGAAAGGAAAGACAACATTTCATCACTTTTGTATAAATCAAAGATGAGAGAACCCTCTCCTGGTACATACCACTACTGCCTCGGACGTTAACAAGCACACACGTACTACAAAATGGACTTAGCAGTAAAGATATCCTGACACATTTGAACAATAATTGTCTTAAATTCCATTCATAGCAAATGTTACTGAACTAATAACTTTTAAGGAACAATCTTTAAAAAAAAAAAAAATGACTTCACCTTCCCCTTAGCAGGCATCATATAGTTCTTGAGTCGCAATCTAAGGTCATGTGCTACTTCCATGAGATACTGTGAGGAACGTATCAAGGCTTCATCCACGGGCCCCGCCAGAGGCCATGAAGCATTCATAATTGAGTCAGGCTTTAAGAAAAAAACAAAAAAAAAAAAAAAAAAAAAAAAAAAAAAAAAAAAAAAACAGTTCAGGGGGATTAAACAACACAACTATTTTATGGTTCTTGATTACATTTCCATACCAAGGCTACCATCTGTAATTGCGTGCTCGAAGTTCAAACCTTACTACCCATAACACACTTCCACAGCCCCTGATCTAATGTTCCCTAGAATTCAAGCTGTGAAGTCTGACTCTACATTCTTAATTAGCATCCATTTGTACAAGCGTATTAATACCCACACACAGATGCTCACTTTCAAAGAAAATTATGTAATGCTAATTTGCCTAAATTTAATCTTTATTACATAAATTATACAAACTCTCAGTTTTTATCCTATTAATACACCCAGTTTTGAAAGCATGGCTATTCAGGATATATATCATGGGCACATTTTTGCATTGTTCATGCATTAGAAAAATACAAAGGAGTTTGGCTTATAAAGTTGAAAAGGAATTATTAAACCATCCAATCGGTTTATCTGCAAGCCTAGGAGAAATAATTGAATTTACCTTCACAGTAAGTAAGGATGCTAATATAAAGCCCTAAATATGCAGCCCTACATATGCCAGAAATTTTATATAAAACAAAAATATTTATGCAAAGAGACACTTCTATCTTGTTAAAAGCTGCTCATAACAGTCATTTATATATATTTCTCAGGATTTTCACCTTTTAACAGTTGGAAAAAACAGAATTAGTTATCTATGTATTCAAATTAAATGTATTTTTAAAATATATTAAAATGTATTTTCCTAACAAGAATTAGGTGATAACAAGAATTTCCTAACAAGAATTAGGTGATAAGATGCGTAGTCCCATGTTTTTAAAATATACACACGGCGTGTATATAAATTAAGGCACGTATATGATGTATCTGTCTAAACAGAAGGTAGCTTGGGTTTAATTTGCTATAATGATTACGAGATGATGAGTCCAACATTAGCCTTGAAATATTCTTTTTCAGTCTTCTCCTCTTAAGTAACATTATTCTGTATTTATTTAATAAGGGCCAAATCAAAACTGCCCAAATCTTAAATGTATACAGATACCTTTCCCAGGAGTGTCCAGATGTGCTCACAGAGATGTGGACAGAATGGAGCCAAGAGAAGGGTCTGAACTTCAATAAAGCGGAACACAAGGTCTCTGTGCATCCCTTCGATGGCTAATTCACGGTATTTATCTTTGGCAGCCTACAAAATTTGAAATTATTTATCATTTTCTTCCCATACTTCGTTAAAAAAAAAACAATAAAAGAAAAAATGCAGTACCTCTATTTTAATGCATTTTTAAGCTTTTAGTCTTTCCAAATTCCACAATGAATTTTCATAAAAGTTTTACTTCATTTTTTTAAAGAAATCTCTACACCCAATGTGGGGTTCAAACCCACAACCCTGAGATCAAGAGTCACAAGCTCTACCAACTGAGCCAGCCAGGCACCCCAGTTTTACTACATTTCTAACACCTTGCAATTAAATGTGTACCAATCATTGTCAAAAAATATTATGGTTTTATATTAATGATTCTCAAAAAAAATTTTTTTAAGACATTTTAAAAATACATTAACAGACATAAAGGCTGCACAATTTAAACTGCATATTAAGGGCTGACGATGCTCTGAATAGCCTATAAGAAAGATATTAAGTATCAAAAATGGCTATAAATACGACACACTGCTATGTTCAGCACTTATCCTTATTTAACCACATCTATGAAAAGCAAGTTACATAAATCCCAATGTGATATTTTACAAAACTGATTGAGGAAACCTACATTTTTACTTTAAGCACTTGAACTGCCAAACTTGAGGAAATACTGACACCTTGTGGAAAACATCAGAACACGCTTCTTTTCAAACCAATGGCAATTAGTTACAGTTTTGCCTTTATGTTTTATCAATTTAAAATGTTCTCCTGCAAAATGTGGCTGGTTTTTAGACTTAACCTCTTTATTAACTCACAGCTCTACTAGAAACAGAAATACTTATATTACGTGAACACAACCGAAAGAATATCAAAGAGAAATATTTAAAATCACAATTACTTAGGAATTTAAAAACTGCTTGGGAACAATTTCAGTCTCTATTCATTCATTTTTGAGAGACAGAGACAGAGAGAGAGACAGAGCATGAACAGGGGAGGGACAGAGAGAGAGGGAGACACAGAATCCGAAAAAGGCTCCAGGCTCTGAGCTGTCAGCACAGAGTCCGACATGGGGTTCGAACTCACGAACTGTGAGATCATGACCTGAGCCAAAGTCAGATGCATTCGACTGAGCCACGCAGGCACCCCGTCAGTCTCTATTTTAGTTATTATGTTATAGCAGGAGGGAAAAAGGGTGAAATACATCATATCCATACTAACACAGCTTACAGCTACTAAAAGAAAGGCCTACCTGAAATTCAAAAAACCCTGTTTTCAAAGCTTCTTTAAACATCATCTTTTCATAATTTTGATCTGTTTTTATAATTCCTGCATTCATCTCACTATTGAATAGGGAAAAAAAGATGACTGAGTTTAAATGCAAGTACACAAAAATATAAATAACTGCTGCATATACTAATAAGCAGTATAATGAGAACACCTGAAACATTTAAGACCACTCAACCACAAAACCAGTTAACAGCAGTTAGCGATGTCCTTGTTTAACAATTTCTTGATGGAAACTTTATCATGAAGTCCAAAATACAATATGAAAACAGCTTAACAAAGGAGCTAGTCGGATTTACTTGCTGCATTTTAAACAACTAACATTGGCTGTTAAAAAAATTTTTCTCATGCTACCTATGGCCCTCTTTTTTTTTTTTTTTTTACTTTTGTGTCAGTAATTTTTTTTTTATTAACTTGTTTTATTTTTTTTTAATTTACACCCAAATTAGTTAGCATATAGTGCAACAGTGATTTCAGGAGTAGATTCCTTAGTGCACCTTACCCCTTTAGCCCATCCCCCCTCCCACAACCCCTCCCATAACCCTCAGTTTGTTCTCCATATTTATGAGTCTCTTCTGTTTTGTCCCCCTCCCTGTTTTTATATTATTTTTGTTTCCCTTCCCTTATGTTCATCTGTTTTGTCTTTTAAAGTCCTCATATGAGTGAAGTCATGACTTTTGTCTTTCTCTGACTAATTTCACTTAGCATAATACCCTCCAATTCCATCCATGTAGTTGCAAATGGCAAGATTTCATTCTTTTTGATTGCCGAGTCATACTCCATTGTATAGATATACCACATCTTCTTTATCCATTCATCCATTGATGGACATGTGGACTCTTTCCATACTTTGGCTATTGTGGATAGTGCTGCTATAAACATGGGGGTGCATGTGTCCCTTCGAAACAGCACACCTGTATCCCTTGGATAAATGCCTAGTAGTGTAATTGCTGGGTCGTAGGGTAATTCTATTTTTAGTTTTTTGAGGAACCTCCATACTGTTTTCCAGAGTGGATGCACCAGCTTGCATTCCCATACCTATGGCCCTTCTTAATTTAGCCTAATCTGGCCCCAACTTGTTTGATCTTCTACTCTCCCCCCCATATATGGTGCTTCACACAAATACCACGCTCTCCATGGCTTTCTCCTCTCTGTAAAAATCCATGTAGTTTTCAAGAAACCCAGAACTCACAAGCCATCTCCTCTGAATTCCCTCTACCTATATTGTCACACTTGTAATGTGTTGGATATGTGTTTTCTTCTCCTGCTAGACTACAGTGAAGGGTCAAGTCCTATTCAACTTTGTAACACCAGTTCTTAAGATGGCTCCTGATGCAAAGATGATGATAAGTGCTTTTAGAAAGAAAAAAAAAAAATGACATTCTCTTACCGTTTTAATCTACTTTTCATTTAACCATTCTGTCCTACTCTAATGCCAAGACAGCATGGTAAAATGGTAATGAGAATGAGCTCTGGAGAAAAAAGCAAATTCATATCCTCCATCTGAAACTATTAGTTTTGAGGTACTTAATAAAATACTTAATTTTTCTAAGCTTCGATTTCTTTAAAATAGAGCTAGTAATATCTTTATCACATAAGGTTGCTGTGAGGGTAAAATCAGATAATGGATGCGAAGAGCTTAGCAGAGTACCTAGAACAAGTAAGCTTTCAGTGAATAGTAGCTATTATTAACATCTAATTTATTTTAGGAGAGGAAAAAAAAAAAAGAAAACTTAAAAATGCACAAGGACTAAGCAACTCTGAAGTACAAAGTGGCCAGAGTCCACAAATTACCTGGCAAAAACTCTATCATTGAAGGTGCTGGCAGGCCCGCTTCGGAGGCTGTCCCAGTTGGCAACCATTTCTTTTACCCACTCTACCCAGGTGTACAGACGGAGAATACCTGCATCTGCCATGGCTTCCACAAAGTTAGCATCTTCAACAGTATCACCAGCATCAGCCAGAGCCAAACGCATTCCTGCAGGAGGAGGAAAAAGAAAAAGAAGGAAGATCACTGATGATTTTAAAATGTGGTTGGTGAGGACCTGGGTGACTCAGTCACTTAAGCGTCTGACTCTTGACTTTGGCTCCAGTCGTGATCTTGCCGTTCCTGAGACTGAGCCTCAAGCGGGGCTTGGGATTCTCTCTCTCTGCCCCTCCCATGCTCATGCTCTGTGTGTGTCTCTCTCTCAAAGTAAATAAATAAACTTTTAAAAAATAATTTAAAAACAAAATATGGTTACTAAATATCAACGATGTATCCAATTTGGTATACTGCAAACCTACATGTAAATTAAGAAATAGCAGATGCTTTAAAGGACTGCATGGGGATGCCTAGGTGGCTCAGTCGGTTAAGCTTCCAAGTGTTGATTTCAGCTCAGGTCATGATCTCATAGTTTGTGAGATCAAGCCCCACATCGGGCTCTTGGCTCACAGTGCAGAGCCTACTTGGGATTCTCTCTCCTCTCTCTGCCCCTTCCCTGATTGTGCCCTCTCTCTCTCTTTTATAAATAAACTTTATAAAATTAAAAAAATATAAAAAATTTAAAAAATAATAAAGGACTGCCATGGATCTAAAACAAAAATAAAAATCACCAAAAGTAGGATCCACAATGTTGTTCAAATATTTGAATCACATGTATTTATTTGCATACACTTAGCATCAATAGCTGTTTCTTCTCAGGCATGCTGAGTTAATGAGATAAAGTGGTCTTTAATGAAGCAGGGGAAAAAAATGATAAACTGGTAATAGGGATCCCTATCAGCATCTAAGGCTCATTTAGAGGGAGCAAAACACTATATTTTAATGCATGAGTACACACACTGGTGCCTTCCATGTACAAAAATATATTTAATTTCTTATTTCTAAAAGCGATTCTTCTAAGCTTTCTAACAAAATTTTGCTTTCCAACCAGAATCTTTATTCTAAAATATTGAAAAAAAAAACATTAATAACAGCCTAATTAAGTTACAGGATATCCTTGTACAATGGAATACTATAATGCTGCAAAACAGTGAGGAAACTCGATATGTATCTATATGGAATGATCTCAAATATGAACAATTAAGTGAAAAAGTACAAGTTCAGAAGAGTAGGTATTGCTTTCTACCATCTATGCCTACAAGGGAGGAGATGAGAACATGTCACATTAAGTTACGTACGCATTAAATATACATTATAATACACAAGAAGCTCTAAACTTTTAACTTTTTATTTCAAATAATTTTACACTTAAAGAAAAGGTGCAAGAGAATAGACATAAACATTAGACATTTAACAGGCTCCCCTAACATTAACAACCTACCTAACCACAGTTTCAAACCCAGGAAGTTAACATTAGTACGACAGTATTAACGAAACTACAGATCTTATTCAAATTTCACCAGTTTTTCTTCTAATATTCTGTTTCTGCTGCAGGATCCAATCTGGAAAAACACATTGCATTTAATCATTTTACCTCCTTGGTCTCCTCATATCTGTGACAGTTTCTTCGTCTTTGTCTTTCATGACCCTGACATTTTTGATGAGTACTCATCAGTTACTTAATAGAATTTCTCTCAACTTGGTTTGTCTGATGTTTTCTCATGATTAGACTGAGCTTATAAACCTCTGGCAGAAGCGATGTTATGTGTCTTCTCAGTGCATCACTATCAGGGAGGTGCAAGATACTGATACGACTTTTTACTGGTGTTGCAAGCTTTAATCACTGACGTAGTGTCTGCCGACTTTTCTCCACTATAGACTTATAGACTTTTTCCTTTTGTGATTAAAAAATATCTTGGTGGGGTACCTGGGTGGCTCAGTTGGTTAAGCGTCCATCTAACTCATGATTTCAGCTCAGGTCATGATCTCACGTTTCTGAGACTGGGCCCTACATCAGGCTCCGTGCTCACAGCACAGAGCCTGCTTGGGATTTTCCCTCTCTCCCTCCCTCTCTCTGCTCCTCCCCTGCTTTCCCTGCCCCTCCCCTGCTCGCGCTCTCCCTGAAAATGAATAAACATTTTTTTTAATAAAATAAAATCTTTGAATAAATAAATGTTTGGTAAAATTCGCCCCCGAAGACATCTGGTTCTGGACTTTTATTTTTTGGGAGTTTTTTGATTACTGATTCAATTTCTTTGCTGGTAATCAGTCTGTTCAAATATTCTATTTCTTCCTGTTTCAGCTTTCGGAGGTTATATGTTTCTAGGAATTTATCCATTTCTTCTAGGTTGCCTAATTTGTTGGCATATAGTTTTGCATAATATTCTAATTGTTTGTATTTCTGTGGTGTTTGTTATTTCTCCTCTCTCATTTATGATTTTATTTATTTGGGTCCTTTCTCTTTTTTTCTTGATGAGTCTACTTAGAAGTTTATCAATTTTATTGATTTTTTTCCAAGAACCAGCTCCTAGTTTCATTGATCTGTTTCACTGGGGTTTTTGCTTTTGTTTTAGTTTCTATATCATTTATTTCTACTCTAATCTTTTTTTTTTTTAATTTTTTTTAACGTTTATTTATTTTTGAGACAGAGAGAAACAGAGCATGAACGGAGGAGGGGCAGAGAGAGAGGGAGACACAGAATCTGAGGCAGGCTCCAGGCTCTGAGCCACCAGCCCAGAGCCCGACGCGGGGCTCAAACTCATGGACCGCAAGATCGTGACCTAGCTGAAGTCGGACGCTTAACCGACTGAGCCACCCAGGCGCCCCTCTACTCTAATCTTTATTACTTCCTAACCTCTGCTCGTTTTAGGTTTTGCTTCTTGCTCTTTGTTTAGCTCCTTTAGGTGTAATGTTAGATTGTTTGAGATTTTTTTTGTTTCTTGAGGTAGAACTGGATTGTTATAAACTTCTCTCAGAACTGCTTTCACTGTGTCCCAAAGGTTTTGGACCATTCTATTTCCATTTTCATTTGTTTCCATGTACTTTTTAATTTCTTCTTTTATTTCCTGGTTGGTCTATTCAATGTTTTGGGGTTTTTTGTTTTTTTGTTTTTTAGGTTTATTTATTTTGAGAAAGAGGTGTGGGGAGGGGCAGAGAGAGAATCTCAAGCAGGCTCCAAACTGTGACTCAGTGCAGAGCCCAATGTGGTGCTCAAACCCAAGAACTGTGAGATATGACCTGAGCCAAAATGAAGAGTGGGACACTTAACTGACTGAGCCACGCAGGCACCCCAGGGCCCATTCCAAGTTTAATAGCATGGTATTTAATCACCATGTATTTGTGGTCTTTCCAGATTTTTTCTTGTAGTTAACTTCTAATTTCATAATGTTGTGATCAGAAAAGATGCATGTTACGACTTGGATCTTTTTAAATTTGTTAAGGCTTGTTTTGTGGCATAATATGTGATCCATTCTAGAGAATGTTCCATGTGCACTTGAAAAGAATGTGTATTGTGCTGTTTTACAAAGGAATGTTCTAAATATATCTGTTAAATCCATCTGGTCCAGTGTGTCATTCAAAGCCATTGTTTCCTGGTTGATTTTCTGTTTAGATGACCTGTTCATTTGATGTAAGTGGGGTGTTAAAGTCCGCTACTATTATTGTACTATTATCGATCAGTTCCTTTATGTTTGCCATTAACTGTTTTATGTATTTGGGTGCAGATATAATGGTTATATCTTCCTGTTGGACTGTCCCCTTTATTATTGCACAGTGTCCTTCTTTACCTCTCATTACAGTCTTTGTTTTACAGTCTATTTTGTCCAATATAAGTACTGCTACTCTGGCTTTCTTCTGACATCCATTTGCAAGACATGTTTCTCTATCCCCATACTTTCAATCTGCAGGTGTCTTTAAGTCTAAAATGAGTCTCTTGTAGGGGGTGCCTGGCTGGCTCAGTCAGTGGAGTGTGCAGCTCTTGATCTCAGGTTTGTGATTTGGGGCCCCACCTTCAGTGTAGAGATTATATAAAAATAGAATTTTTAAAAAAATGAGTTTCTTGTAGGCAGCATATAAATGGCTCTTGCTTTTTTTATTCATTATGTCATGCAGTGTCTTTTGATTGGAGTGTGTAGTCCATTTACATTCAAAGTAATTATTGATAGATATGTATTTGTTGTCATTTTATTACTTGTTTTGTGTTGTTTCTGAAAATTTTCTCTGATCATTTCTTGTCTTACTCTCTTTCATGGTTTGTTGGTTTCCTTTAGTGATATATTTTGATTTCTTTCTCTTCATTCTTTGTATATTTATTAGTATTCTATTTGTGGTTACCATTAGATTTATACATAACATCTTCTGCATATCATGGTCTGTATTGTATTAAGTTGATGGTCATTTAAGTTTAAACCCATTCTTTACTTCCATCCCTCCCCATGTTTTAGGTATATGATGTTTTACATCCTTTTATTTTGTGAATTCCTTGACTGTTTTTTTTACAGATATATTCATTTTTTTATTGCTTTTGTGTTTGCTACCCCCATACTGTCATTTTTGGTCTTTCCTTTCCACTCAAAGAGTCCTCTAATAGTTCTTACAGGGCTGGTTTACTAGTCATGAACTCCTTTAGTTTTTGTCTGGAAAGCTCTTTATCTATTCTTCCATTCTGAATGATAGCCTTGATGGACAGAGTATTCTTGGCTGCAGGTTTTTCCCATTTAGCACTTTGCATATATCATGTCACTCCTTTCTAGCTTGGAAAGTTTCTGCTAAAAAATCTGTTGATCAACTTATGGGGTTTCCTTTGTATGTAACCATCTTCTTTTGTCTTGCTGTTTTTTAATGTTTATTTATTTATTTTTGAGACGGACCGAGAGAGACAGAGAGAGAGAGAGAGAGAACATGAGCAGGGGAAAGGCAGAGAGAGGAGAAAAAGAATCCCAAGCAGGCTCTGCACATCAGCACAGAGCCCAATGCAGGGCTCAAACCCACAAACCATGAGATCAGGACACGAGTCAAAATCAAGAGTGGGACGCTTAACCAAATGACCCACCCTTGTCTTGATGCTTTTAATATTTTTTCCTTATCACTATATTTTGCCATTTTAACTACAATATGTCTTGGAATGGGTCTGCTTTTGTTAATTTTGTTGGAGGTTCTCTGTGTTTCCTAGATCTGGCTATCTGTTTCCTTCTCCATATTAGGTAAGTTTTCAGCTATTATGTCTTCAAATACATTCTCTGCCTGCTTTTCTCTCTTCTTCTTCTTCTGGAACTCTATAATACAATTGTTACTATGTTTGATGGAGTCACTGAGTTCCCTAAGTTTACTCTCACTTTGCAGAATTCTTTTTTCTCTCTTTTGTTCAGTTTGATTACTTTCTATTACTCTGTCATCTAGTAATTACTTCATTCCTCTGCTTCTTCCGGCCTTCTGTTCATTTCGAGTGTGTTTCGCACTTTGTTTACTGAGCCCGTTATCTCTGCTGTTATTCCTTATCTCTGTGTTGATGGTCCCAGTGATGTTCTCTACTCTTTTCTCAAATCCAGTGAGTATCCTTATGATCGGTGCTTTAAATTCTTAATCAGGCATGTTATTTATATCTGTTTCACTTAGATCTCCAGCCATGGCCTTGTCTTATTCTTTCATTTGGGACAAATTATGTCTTCTCATTTTGTCCGAGTCTCTGTGCCTGTTTCTGTGCATTAGGAAAGTCAGCTAATGTCTCCTGTTCTTGAAGGTAAAGGCTTTATGAAGAAAAGCCTATAGTGTCCTACTGTGTAGTATCCCCATTTCCCCAGGACCTGCTGCTCCCAGGAATATCTCCAATGTATGCTGTGTGTGCTCTGCTGTTTTTCCTGGCTGCTTTATCTTTCAGGCCAGTCATCTACAGATGCTCTCTTTGCCTGTTGTAGGCAGTGTTTGGTCCCTGAATGTGGTGCACTTAAACTAGGTGTGCTCTGGTCTGCTTGTGAAATGAAACCTGGTGCTGCCAGCACTAAGGCCTCATAAAATTCTCAGTTCGAGAGACATGGTGTGGGCAGGGGTTTGAGCCAGTCTTCTGAGGAAGGGGGCCTGCTGCACTGGAGCTGAGGCAAGCATAACCAGGAGGTGTGGTTCCACCAAAATGCAGAGTGGTGGGGCTTGATGTAAGCAAGTTAGGTGGCAAGTATCAGCACTGCACTAGTTCCTACTGGCGGCCCTGTGTTTATGCTGAAGGATGAGGAAGGGAACGGCACCTGCCAATTCCTTTGTTCCTGGAGGGGTCCCTCTGTGAATGCTGCCACTCCGGAACATGCTATGAGATGAGCAACTAACTTCTCCACTGTGTGTCCCGGGTGCTCTTCAGATCACTGTTTCCCTGCCATATGTCTGCATGATGTTTGCTTGCCATTGGGGCAAACACAGCCCCAATGTCCTCCAGGCTATTCCAGAGCCAAGCACAGTGACCTTTAAAACTCCAAACTTTAATTAAGCCCCACTGGATACAAGTACTCAAAAATTCAGGCTCTCTCACTTTCCAAGCCCTTTGCTATAGGGATTTGTTTTCCCCATGTGCTCCCTGTGTGCTAGTTTGTGTCTTATCCTTTTCCATGACTGCAGCTCCCTCTCCCCAACAGCTGTCATGATCTGTTTCTTTCCCAAACCATGTCTCCATGGTTTCTTCCTACCTTCTTCAATATGGCCCCTTCTCTATCTTTAGTTGTAGAGTGTGTTCTGCCAGTCTTCATATAGATTTCTGGGCTATTTAAGATGATCTGATAGTTATTTAGCTGTATTCATGGGACAAGGCAAGTGAGAATCCTCCTACTCTGCTGCCACCTTCTGTCTTCAGTACCTGTGTGCCCTTCAAATGTCCCCATCCTTATTGAAACATTTCCTTATTTTCTGGAACAATGTGTTCCATGCTCATCTTGTTATTTTCCCTACTCCAGCCTGCAAATCAGTCACTTCTCCTAGGCACCCCAGTTCCATTTATCGGAAAACTGTAGTTAGAAACCAAGATGTGAATGCCAGGTGTGCCTCTGCCACTGGGGTGTCACTGCTCATAAGCCTTCTTGGCACACACAGCTAGGGAAATGTGTGCACATGCACTAACCCACTGCACACACCAATGTTAATTTTTGCATTAATCTATCTATATATAAAATTAAAACCATTAGATATTGCCAATTCCAATCCAACACCACAGGCTGCCTTCTAGCATTCCCCCTTTATTATTTCCATCTTCTTTGACAGTGAGCTCTCATCTACAATAGATTTATTTGTTCAATCCCAGCACACACTGCTAACCTATACCTCACGCAAGAAATAGTCTTACCAATTACAGTACTGATGTGCAGTTCTTTTTGGTTTACAGTGTCCAGTCAAAGCAATGTTTCTCCAAGTTAATTAGGTTAGTTCTTTCCCATTCCCATCAGTATGGCCTCAAACTGTGCTAGCCATGATGAGAAGAAACAAGTGACATGATGACCAAAGTAATGAATGGTTCCTTCAGGTTACACAGTGCATGTCTTCCCTTGACAGAGTAATGATCAAATGGAACAGTACTGAGGCCAAGGAGAAAAGACTGTTCTAAAAAATGAATGCTCCCAGGTTTAAGTGACCCATATTTATATCAAGTACGAAGCAAATACTTTGGAAAAGCTTTACAGTCAACATCTCTACAAACCGATTCTTTCATCTTTCAAGTAATAAGAAATTGAAGCAAGCCGGGTAGCAATTACAGTGAGTTTCTTTTTTAAAAAAGACTCTAATAGTCTTAGTTCAAATCTGTTCCTAAAAAGATCATGTCAGCAATTCTTACATTTTAAATATTACATTGCTTGTACACAAAGAAAACACGACTATTTTAAACTACTGTAAAAGCAAAAAAAAAAAAAAAGGCAGTAAAACTGAAACAATTTTAACTTGTTTTCTATAATCTGAAGAGAATCAGACCCTATATAATAGCAATAATAAAAAAGCATACTCACCATCCGCTGAAAATTTGTCGATAGCTTGGGTCAAAGTGAGGAAGTTGCCTGTGGACTTTGACATCTGAAATAAAAGTCAATGACCAGGCATTATTAAGCATATAAGTAAAATAAACCAAATCAGCCAAATTAAAATACATGGGTTAGCCACAATCAGATAAACACAGACAAAAAATATTACAAAGAGGGAATGGAAAAGATACCTTGCACTAATTTTCCAGACATAGAAACTAAAGTCCGGTTACTAAGTGACTTCATTTCAGCTGGTTATAAAGAAGAGCTTTACAGCAATTAGACTCCTTCAGAAATGAAAGGACTAGTGTATGAAGTCAGAGTTAGGCTTTTAGGGAACTTCCTGTCAACGGCGTCACAATAATTGTTTGTTCAAGCTGTGCTTTACCTGAGGGCACCACATCAAAGGAGGCACTGTGCACAGCCTATCAATCTTTACTATTTAAGAATGTTGTATCTTTATCATAACTTTGCTGATACCAAACAGAGGTGATTATCCAGTTTTATGCTACATGGCAATAAAGTATCTAGTTCTAAGAAATTCAGTACAGTGTAGAGTACAACAATGTTGAGACCAAAGAGAATGTCATGATATACCACAATTTACATTCATATACATATATACACATATATACATACAGATAAATATATAACATACATAGTGTCACTTTGACTTACAAAGTAAAAATGAATTTAAGAATCAAAAGTCCTTGTTGATCTAACAAAATCTATAAATAGCCCATGCTTTTTTTTTTTTTTTTTTTTTTAGTAGGCTCCACATCCAATATGAGGATTGAATTCATAACCCTGAGATTAAGGGTCACATGCTTTACCGACTAAGCCAGCCAGGCGCATCCAATAGCCCGTGTTTCTAATCAAAGAGCTGTTTTTCGGTCTAATATAGAGATTATTTTAAATGAACTTTTTTATTCCCTTTCAATATTAGAACACTGGTTAAATGATGTTTCATTTTACAATTCAGACCATCTATTATTTGTTTAAATCTATGTCTATTCTCATTATGACAGATATTTATAGCAAAGAATACTGTTTTACCATTAATATTCCAACAGGAGCAGCAAAATTCACTAACTGTAACAAATCCAACTTGCTACAATTGTCATTACTAAGAAATAACATAGTAACTTAATTTCAGGTTTGGTTGAGGAGGGGTACCCCTTTCTAATGTGCACAAAAGCATCACAGGAGCAAACAAGGGCTTGGTTATGAGGTTTGCATAACCTCCTGTTGAAGATATTGATGAATGAGACATAAAGTCTTACATAGCCTATTAAAAATCATATATACTAAGAGTTTTAACAATACTGGAAGCAGTACTAGTATAAACAGAAATATTACATTGCCTGGGAAGAAACATTATATGACTGTTAAGAATCCTGGCAATTCCAAAATTCTATTATTATAATTCAGTGGCTGGTCATAGTATAAAACAAATCCCACCAAATGATCTTCTCAACTTAATGAGAAAGATATTCTAGGGTCACAATGCTAGGATCTTTATGATTCTTATCTATCTCTATCTCCTCTAGTCACAATTTGTGTTACCTTCTGTCATTCTAACCACAAATGTTAAAATAAGTAAGTTTTGGGGCACCTGAGTGGCTCAGTCGGTTGAGGACCCAACTCTTGATTTTGGCTCAGGTCACGATCCCAGTTGGCTCATGGGATGCAGCCCCGCATCAGGTACCATGCTGAGCGTGGAGCCTGCCTAAGGGTTTAAGATTCTCTCTCTCTCTCCCTCCCTCTGCCTCTCTTCCCTGCTCACGTTCTCCCTCCTTCTCTCTAACATATCGTAATGTAACATAACAAAACATAACATAACATAACAAATTTTCCCACTCCCTCCCCTCAGTTAATACTATTCACTCTACTCCCTAATTTATGCTGGTAGTCCTATATATTTTAAATGGAAGACTAACTCTGATTTTTATACTCTTTATTTCTTTAAGAAATACAACTTCCTGTATCTGAAAAGTTTTCTGCAGAATTTTAAACTTTCGAGAGGCCAAAAGCCTTACTTACTTTCTCAGAGTTGAGGAGGAGATGTCCATTTGCTCTCACAGCTGCAGGCCATTTGTCACTTTACAGGTAAATGTTCAAAGACAGAAAATACAACATAAACATTCTAGTTTAAGCTTAAAAAGTTGAGGTAAATGCTAAAAGATCTGTAAAAATTTGCAAAGACAAATGTACAAGGATATTTATTGAGTGCTGTTCATAACGAAAAAAATAAAAACAAGTAAAGTGTGTGTTAAGTGAAGGACTGGTTACATAAACTATGATGCAGGCATACACTGAAATACTATGTAGTAACTATTTAAAAAATACAGGCGGGGGGGGTGCCTGGGTGGCTCAGTCGGTTGGGTGTCCGACTTCAGCTCAAGTCACGATCTCCCGGTCCGTGAGTTCGAGCCCTGCGTCAGGCTCTGGGCTGATAGCTCAGAGCCTGGAGCCTGCTTCTGATTCTGTGTCTCCCTCTCTCTCTGCCCCTCCCCCATTCATGCTCTCTCTCTGTCTCAAAAATAAATAAACATTAAAAAAAAAAATTAAAAAAAAAAATACAGGCAGGGCTAGAAGTGTGGCTATAAAAAGATCTTAGAGGGGCGCCTGGGTAGCTCAGTCAGTTAAGTGTCGAACTTCAGCTCAGGTCACGATCTCGTGGTCCGTGAGTTCGAGCCCCGCGTCGGGCTCTGGGCTGATGGCTCAGAATCGGAGTCTGCTTCTGATTCTGTGTCTCTCTCTCTGAGAGGGAGCCTAAAGTCAGTAGGAGGATTTCTGGATGTACTAGATAGGAGAAGGTGTGCTTTATGCTTCAGTATACATTTAATAGAAGAAAAAGAAAGTAACTGGCAAATCTAACTATACCTTGCACGATAACTTCTTAAATATTTGAAGCCACAAGGCATAAGTTTAGTCTGCATCCTTTTTAGCACTCACCTTTGTTCTGGCCACATAGCCACATGATTATAAAGGTAATATGAAAGATGATTTGGAACAAGATCCTTGCCAGAGACTCGGAGATCCACAGGATACCAGAACTCAAATTCCTGCTTTAATTGATCTAACTTTTCCTTTGGGATCTGGGTCTTAGGAAATGGAGCCTCCTTGAAGAAAACATAATCCCAAACCTCCTTGGTCATCTGTTGTGGTCTATAATTAAAATAAAAACAAACAAACAAACAAAAAAAACCAGCATCAAAAAAGTATATTTTTTTCCATGAAAGAATCAGTATTTTCATCTAACCATGAAGTAGATATTTCTGTCTTAATGTAGTTACCATAACAAATGACAATAGATTCCCCTAAGAATAAAGAACAGTAACAATAATAGAGGGACGATTTATTACTTTTTCTCAGTTCAACAGCAAAAAAGCAACAACATCATTAGCAAAATTTGCTAAATGAATTCTTATGAAAACTAAATGTTAAAAAAAAAAAAAAAAA